TGGAGGTGATGTCATCATGCCAGGCACATCGTGTGGGGGTCCTTCTAGCATTTGGGTAAAAACTCTATGGTGATCATAGAGTTTTTTTTACCCAAATGCTAGAGCATCCCCTGCACAACGTGTACAGCCCCTTCCGGCCATGCCATTTTTGTCCTATGGATGCCACACCGTTCTGTGGGTAATCAATAAGGATGGGGATATTGTACTCATCTTTAATTCAGATGGGAGGGGGTACGTTTTGAAAATTAGTTTGGGCACCAGATCCTGAATTATGTGCCGCAGGTTTCCCTCCTTTGGCTCATTTGTACACACACACACACACACAAGAACATAAGAGAAGGCAATGTTGGATCAGGCCAGTGGCCCATCCAGTCCAACACTCTGTCACACAGTGGTCAAAAATACCAGGTGCCGTCAGGAGGTCCACCAGTGGGGCCAGGACACCGAGAAACACACGTGCACACCCATCTGCTGGTGGGCACTTAGAAACTCCAAAATCCAGGGAGGAATGTCGAAGAGAATTCCTTTGCAGCCGACAACTGGATGCCAGAAACTCTTCCTACCCCCAGCTTCTGAGCCCAACGCCCCCACCCCGAAAAACAAGAATCGAGGTGTCTATTGGCCCGACAATGCTTCTTCTGCTAGTTCCTGCCTCTTTTTTTTTGCTCTTCTCACCCAGCACCCTGTCCCTTTCCTTCCAGTTCAGATGCCAACCCCCCCCCCGCCATCACAGTCCACCCCACTGCATGCAAACAGGCAGACGAGCAAGCTGAGAATCAGATGGGTATCTTTCTTTTAAAAACAACAACAACAGAGATCAACAGACAAAAAAAAACTTATTCAGCACAGGGTTTAAGATAGCAGCCAGGTCCAGGCCGCACGGCCTGAAAAGGGGGGGGGGGGAGAAATAGACAAGGCAGACATACGGACTGGAAGACCACAGGCAATATGGACAGAGGAGCTCTACGGACAAAGGGAAAGGAAAGGAGAGAACCAAGCAGGCTAAGAATTAAATGCGATCTCCTTACTTCTGTGTGACTGGGGATTTTCACCCTGCTCTGTGAAAAGAACAGGAAGGTTTATATGCCGTTAAAGCATCCAACACGACAACAACAACAGCAACAACACACAAAAGGCAATCTCCCCCCCCCCATCAGATTCCACCCCTGGAACGGTGACCTTCCCAGACAGTCATTGCAGAATTGGTCTGCCCTGCATATGGAAATGGGCTTACTTGCCCCTTCTCTTCCCCCATAAAAACCTACACCACTTCTGGGGAAAACCCAGAGGTGACATGGGGTAGCTCTAGGAATTGCTGAAAACTCTATGGTTTTGCTTGAGGGTCCGTCGATGCTGAACTTGCCCCAGCCTCGCACCTGTTTGTCAAGGTTGCCACCCTAAGAATCCTAGGAGTCTTGCCAAGACCCCCCCCCAATTCTGAATATATAAATCTGTTTCTGGAAATGGTCATCTTTTGGTTCTGCCCATTTTTCATTATTTTCATCGATGCCATGTTTGACTCTGTCCACGCACAAACAATGCTGAAACAGGTGTTACAAATAACGGGTGTGTGGGGGGGATTCTGCAAGAGAAAGCCCACGATGGAAATGAAAGGCTTTCAGGTCCACTTTTGAGCAAGGGAGATGTGACATTGCACCTGGGATTGTCAGTGTTGAACAAGCAGAGATGAGGAATTGAAAATCATCTTGATGCATGAGGGCTCTTTTTACCATATGTGGTGGACGTGTGAAAAAGCGATAGATTTCTGGTCAAAAATTCATTGTGAAATGCAAAAAATGTTTAAGTGTAATTTTAAAAAAGAACCAGAGATTTTATTGCTAGGACTGAAAATGGAAGAGTTAAACATACAACCCCCCCCCATGTTTTGGTACCTGATAACAACGGCAAGAATGGTATATGCACAATGTTGGAAACAAGAGAGAACGCCTGAGATCTCAGATTGGATACAAAAAGTGTTGTTTATGGCCAAAATGGACAAAATAACAAGAAAACTGAGCAACAAAGAAGATCAAGAATTTTTTGAAGACTGGAAAGACTTTAAAGACTATTTAGAGGGTAACTGGGATGTGAAACACAATTTACTGTATTTAGAACAATATTGATAGAAATGTTATCTTGTAACAGAAGTTAAGTTACTGAAGTAAATATATGAAGTATAAAGGAATGAAGGGTGGAGCACTGCGGGAAGCCATTAGTAAGGGTGGGGGGGAAGGGAAATATGGGTATTTGAAAAGTGAAACAAAATGTTAAATGTGATATTATATCCCAAAATAAAAAGTTTTGTGGGGAAAAAAAGAAAATCATCTTGATGCAGAACGACAGTTCCCAATTTGGTCGGCTTCAGGGCTGGTACCTATGGGCAATTGACAATGGCTCACTACCCTGGGCTTGCCCACTGCCAAAGATGCCACCTCTCTTCCACCCAACTCCTTTACCCAGGCAGCAGCAAGGACTTAGACTCCAGGGCCCTACCCGGGCAGGGTGGAGAGTGGGATCCGAACACCGAAACTTTTGTTTCGGTCATCAGGAACTTTTTCGTTCCGTTCGTTTTCATTCCCAATGTGTTTCTCAGAGGCCGCTTTGATGCCGCTTCTGTGCCGAACCGAAGCAAAAACAACGGTAGAAAATGCGTCCGTTGAGACAGGGAAGGCGCAAAGAAATGGGGAAAGTATGATAATAAAGACTTATTGGGGAGTGGTGGCACAAAGGATTTATCCTCTGGTTAACATCTGAACTGAACAGAGTTGCTGTCAGTTCTAGCCCGTGCTGGTGTAAGTTACCAGCCTTGTCCCCAGCTCGCCGTCCACCCAGCGGTTTGAAAGCTTCGGCGAGTAGATAAAATGGGTACCACTCCTTAGAGAGGGTGGGCACACTAAACCCCCGAAGGGGAGGTGTTAGCCGGCGAATGAAATGTCCAGCTTGTAAGCTCGGAAGCCTGATAAAAAAGACTTCTTCGGCATTAAGAAGCCGGTAATGGGCCAATCTGGCCAGGCGGTGGCAGTGCGCTGCTACGGTTCAAAGCAGCCCAGGAAGAACCAACATCATCAAGCCAAGCCAAAAGTGAATGCCTCCGGAACACGTCTGAAGCCTACAGCTGAACAAAAATCTCCGTCGGCTGCAAAACGTGTGCGATTTAAAGAATTATATGTTGTCCTCCCTTACCCTTATGAAATTGTTAGTCCCTTGTGTGAAACCGTGTAACTGTAAATCGCTCAGAGCCAGCAGCTCTGCCGGATTGAGTGATCAATAAATTGAAAGGTATTATTATCATTATCATTATCATTATCATTACTTCGCTTTACACCAGGAGATTGAAACGGGGATGTTTCACCACCTGCCCTGAATGGTGGAGGAAGAGGAGCGGTTGTTCTGGGAAGGTGGGTTGAAAGCAAAGCACTAGCTGTTGTTCCCTACCTCCACCCTAACACTGTGGACCAACGGCCTGCCTTCCTGAATGGTGGACCGGAGGCTCCTTTTTCTTCTCGGTTGGGGTCAGCCATGGCGGCCCATCTCCATCAGCCCCTTGCTAGCCCCAGGAAAGGAGGAAGGTAAGTGGTGCACGGGGGAGGGGGGGCTGCAGCCAGTGGCCTTGGATGCCTACCCTCCACTCCAAATGGGTCTGGGGAAGATACCTGGATATTTGGGGGATGGAGCCCGGGGAGGGACCTCAGCAAGATATAATGCCATACAGTCCACCCCCCAAAGCTGCCATTTTCTCCGGGGGAACCAATCTATGTAGACTGGAGGGGGTCACTTGTAATTCTGGAAGACGTCCAGGACCTACCTGGAGGTTGGCAACCCTATGGAAGTAGGATCTTCCATGGAGGCCAAATGGGAAGTGTTGAAGGGAGCCCACCAAGTACGGGGAAGGCTTGGAAAGGTCCACCAGTTGTGGGACACCAGAAGATATTGTGCCAAAAAAGAAGAAGATATTGGATTTATTCCCTGCCCTTCACTACCCAAGGGAGTCTCAGAGCGGGTTACAATCTCCTTCCCCTTCCCCTCCCCGCAACAGGCACCCTGTGAGGTAGGTGGGGCTGAGAGAGCTCTTGACAAAAACTGCTCTTTTCCAATAACTGCTGAGCCAGAACTATGGCTTGCCCAAGGTCATCTGGCAGGTGCAAGTGGAGGAGTGGGGAATCAAACTCCCAGATTAGAGTCCGCACACTTAACCACTACACCAAACTGGCTCTCGAACCTGGTTCCCTGGGGTGAGGGAATGGTGAATGAAATAATTTAAAAGAGAGGGACTCTCTTAGGACCACAAACATTCAAATTCAGATTACAGGTCCCAGGACTCCTCATGACATTTAAAACTAACAATGTGTTGAGACTAACAATGTGCTGAGAGCCAGTTTGGTGTAGTGGTTAAGTGCGCGGACTCTAAATTGGGAGAACCAGGTCTGATTCCCCACTCCTCCACTTGCACCTGGCTGGATGACCTTGGGCAAGCCGTAGTTCTGTCAGAGATGTTCTTGAAAAAGAGCAGTTTCTGTCAGAGCTCTCTCAGCCCCACCTACCTCACCGGGTGCCTGTTGTGGGGAGGGGAAAGGAGAGGAGTTTGTAAGCCGCTCTGAGACTCCTTTGGGTAGTGAAGGGTGGAGTATAAATCCAATCTCTTCCTCTTCTTCTTGTCTTCATCTCTGAGCTCAGTGACTTACAGCTTGGAGTAGCCATGTTGCAGTCACAAACTACTCTGCTTGCAATGACTGTTTTCTCTTGAATTGAGTACCTCATGTGCTCGCACTGGTCAATTGCTAATTATCTCTCCTTCTAATAATTGTGTTTTGGGTTGGCCACCGTTCTATGGGGTGGCCATAAAAAATATGCTCCCTCAGCCATTTTCCCGTCAGCTGCCGCTCAGGGCAACTGGCGTGCCATTGGCTGGCTGGGTGGGGGACGGACGAGCTTCGCCGCCTTGGCCCGCGCGGCCCTGGAGCAGGCGGCGAGTGGCCAGTGGAGAGACGGATGAGGCTGCGGTAGGCGAGAGGTGCTGAGGTGGTCGCGTCGCGCTTCTCTTGCCCGGTGCGGCCTGGGCCGGGGAAGCTGCGCGCCCTTCTTTGGGGACGGGGGGGTTTTTTGTTTTTCCCTCAGCTGGCCCCAGCTGCGCTCAGGGAGGGGGGAAGCGGCTGCGCCATGCTTCCCTCGCCCGTTGCAGGGAAAGACCTCTGAGGTGGCCGAGTGGGAGCGGCTGCCCAGAGACCCCTGCCCCCTTCTCGGCTGCACGCCGAGGCAAGCGAGCTGAGAAGGGGCCGGGCAGCCCTTTGTGGCCCTCCCCGTTAGTTCTCCTGCCCTTCCGCCCAGGAGAAACTGCTCAGAGGCCCCCCCACCCATGCCGACAGAGGAAGGACGAGGCCGGCTGGCTTGCCCTGCCGCCTCCAGCGTGCAGCGGGGGGAGGCACGAGCCTGGCTGCTGGGTAGCCTCCACGCTCTCCTTTGCCAGTGCGTGGGGGGCCCCCCTCCGGCTGCCTCTCTCTAGGGCCCACTGCCTCTCTTCCTGCAACGGGCCTTGCGCCTAGTTCATAATAAGCAGCATTCTAAATACTTTTTCGCATCTCCACACTGGGGGTTGGTGGGTGGGCATTCAGCACCCCCCTTCGGGGCAGCTGGCCGATAGCAAGTGCAAACTTGGCATCTGCTAGACGGCAGGTGGGAATTGTTATTTTCTTGGCCTCTCTGTTCAGTTTGGGCCCCCCCCAAAAAAGACAATTCCCACTAACCCTGTGTTAGGCGAAGCATCATTCCTGCCCCTCCCTCGGGTTAATACATGAAGTGCCTGGCTCCTTCTCGCAGGTGTCGTTAATTCAGAGCTTCGGCCTACCAGGCACCTTATCAGTCCAAGATAAAAGGAATTAGCTGCTCACGAGAATGCGTTCCTAGAGTTGGGAC